CTTACCATTATAGCTGATTCTACAGCCTATACTTCAATGAAGCTGCAAGCAACTGACTGACCATGCTGAAATGGCGGACTTCTTTAGTGAACATTTGAATGGTATTACGCCTTCGACCCTTCGTTCCTACGCTCGTTGGGACGTTGGTCATCTCGGCTGGCAAGAGACTGAGAAATATCTGCTAAAATAGCCTTAAAGTCTTTTTATACAGCTCGGCGGTCCGAACCCTGAGCAGGAGACGAATAGGCCGAGTGGGACTAGTTCCGTGAACTTAACCAACTTTGGCTAGGTTGATGACTCCCGTCCCCGTATCTTACGATGTCGAATCCTTATGGTACATTCTAGCTGCTTGCCCAAAGGGAAATGACATTCTCATCTTCCGAACTCATCCTCTATTAAACCCTTTAACTTTAGTCGGCCAGCCAATTTTTACGGCGTGCATGAACTTTCCGGCCCCACCGACTCACATTTTGCCAAGTTGCAGGATGTCTATCCTAATGGAACGATGTGTCCAATCTCTTGGAGTGCCAGCGTTCTTTAGAAGTGCGTCGGAGCCAGACTCGGATTTTGGTAAAAGAAAAGGCAAATCGATACAAGGAAGGTCACTGCATTTAGCTTCAGGTTTCTTCAAGCAACTTCCCTGTTTCTCTTGTTCACGCCGCCACAGTTTCACAAAATCCGTGTATATTCGACTACTATAAATGAGCTCAGTAACCACTAAACTCTTTTCATCTCTTTATTTATTATCAGTGTTAGCCACAGATATATGCCAGCCATGAAATGCCTCGCCGAGTACTAGGTAATGATTGACAATGAACCATTGACAGCACGTTAGAGTGGCCTGAGGATCCGGCACCACTGGCAGTGATTTGCGTAGAGTCATGGCTTAAACACCATGCCTAGTCCCTTCGCTTTAATCATGTATGATGCCTCGAATGAAATATTGTAAATTAAAGCCGCTGGCCAACAACAGGGTGCAGACTATCCGACAGACTACACAAGAAGGTATTTCTACATGTGCAACCAGCATGACTGGCTTTTTCCACCACTGGAAGGACGCAATGCCGAAGATGGATTTGTTTGAGTTCTTGAGACAGAAAATTATGTGGAGACATCTGAAGTAGAATTCAGTACCTCGATCTTGCTGGAAGACGGTGATTTGTACCTGGAGCAATTGAAGAACAGCTATCTGCACCCGGCTGCTAGGAATAATGGAGGGACAAGTTGGGTGGAACTATACAGCAGGAGCTGCTGTAAGATGATTTAATAGAATATGTGCAAACAGCGAGAGGTTTTAATTAAATTTAAGCATGTAATATTGGAAGAAGCAATTGATGTTATCCAATTAACAAGTATTTACAGCAATATCAATTTTCCAGCGGTCGAACCAGACCTCGTACGAGCTATAATGACCACAATAGTCTGCGTTAAAGCAGGACTCGACCATCTCTCCCAGCTCTGATCACGCTCAGATGCAGGATAAGATGCGACAAGGGACCATCTACCACGATCGAAGACAGCGTCGAAGGGCTGGCCATTGACATAGCATGATAGTAAATCCAGTTCAATATCGTTAGGTACCACCAACCCCTCAATGTGGACAACAACCTTGGAGTCCTCAGTTTTCTTCGACTGAGCCTGCACCACCAACTCAGTGGCCGGCTGAGAAGTCCATGAGCAAGTATTCTGACCAACCTTGACAAAATCGGAGTCAAGGGCAGGTACAGACGAAGGCTTCACACGACCCTTCATCGCCTCCTCAAACGCAAACCCATACTTAAGCAAGCTGTTATCATCATACGCCTTCCCAGCAAAAGTGAGATTCACAGGCATCCCCGTATCCTCCATAAGGCCCATAGGAACCGAAATGGTGGGCACACCTAGGTGCCGGATAGGCCTATTCCCATTGGAATATTTAACCCCATTACTCCAAGCAAATAATGAAGAAACCTCGTCACGATCCGAATTCGCGGCCCCCACATCACCATTAGCCGGGAAAACCACAGCATCAAGCCCAAGCCCATCCATCCACCTCTCAAACGTCTCTTTGCGCGCATTTTCCAGCGCCTGGATTCCATCCTTAAGTCCCGGGATATCGAAAATAGAATCCGGTCTCCTGAGCGGGTACTTCACCATATCGTCCCATCGCAGCGCATTCGCTGCATCGGGAGACCCGTTCAATGAGCACGGCGCGAGCGGGAAAATGGTAGCTGGATCGACCTGCGCCAGAGAGCTGAGACCTTCCTGCCCGTTTGTAATGAGGAAATCATCCCAAATGTGCGCTACTAGCTCGTTTCGCTCCATTGCTGACCAGCCTTTTGGTAGTCCTGCAACTGTAACGAGCTGGCCTTTGTCGGCGTTAGATTCGTAAGTTGTTACGAGTGGGAAGTCTGTTTCGATTACCTCCACGCCGCACGACTCAAGTACTTCTCTGGCACGTTGCCAGAGTTTGACAATTGAGGGACGAGTATTGACTTTGCTGGCGGGGTTGAGGGAAGACTGATCGCCTCCGATGTACATCGATGGCACGCCAATACGCTTCCCGCGCAAGGAAAAACTGTCCCGGAGTACTGAGAATGATTGCGGCCGAATTGCATCGATTGAAGGGAGAAGAACGAGCTTTTGCTCCTGATAGAAATCACCTTTTGGGGTAGGATCAGAAACGGCTAGGACATCGAGGACGTGAAACATGTCGGCCATACTCCTGGTGTGAGGTACCAGGACATCACAGGTGGCGTAGAGAGGCCAGACACCGCGAAGAGGAAGTAGGCCCTTCGAAGGTGTATAAGCGACGACGGAGTTGTTAGATGCAGGCGAACGACCGGAAGAAACGGTCTCACTACCGAGCGAAAAGGCACAAAAGTTGGCTGCAGTAGCGACTGCAGATCCATTCGATGAGCCTGATGCATACGCCGCAGCCAGATATGCGCTGTTATATGGGCTTTCGGCACGGCCATAGCAGCCACGCTGCATACCACCGTATGCCATTGCAGGCATATTAGTGCGGCCTAGGAGGATCGCACCGGCATCGCGGAGCACATTGATACACGCTGCGTCTTCGTTGGCAATCAGGGTTTCAAAAGCTGGCGATCCGTTCGCGACGCTCATACCCTTGACTTTGATACTGTCTTTGGCGAGGTACGGGATACCCTCTAGTGGCCGCGGTGGTAGACCCGCTGCGCGTCGGGCATCGGAGGCCGCTGCATCGTCGATGGCGGACGGGTTTATAATTGGGATTGCACTGAGTTTGATGCCATTTGCATCGTATACGCTGATTCTTCGGAGATATCTTGATACAAGATCGACGCTAGAGAGCGCGCCTGAAGAGAGCGCGGATTGGAGCTCCGAGATGCTTGCGTCGAGCACTGAAAAGCCCTGGACGTTCCGAGCCATATCGTTGCGCCTTTTCTCTTAGATTTGGAAATGCCAATTAACCCCGCAGAGAGCAAGCCTATTCATCTGGACCCCAAATATATAAAAGGTCGAAAGGTGGGAGATGGCGGGCAGTAGTCCGCATTTCTTGGCATCTCCGCATAACGGACTTTTGTCCGCAGTCCCTATCATCTGCCGAAAAATAACTCCAGGAGATAATCAAGCTTATCTACTTGGCGGCGATAACATACAGGCCATGGCTGCCCACAGGTGAGTCCTTATAAGTAATCTATAAGCGACATGTGGTCTCTTTGTAAACCGCTGTCGTGCGACTTCAGAATTGTTCTACTTCACGATAAACAAAGACGTCAAGGTGGACCTCAATCCACTGTGGAGAAGGATGTTGCACTCGGGCGAAACCCTCGATAGTGGTGCCGACTTGTACGTCGAAGCGGGGCAGCTATTCACTTAAGAGTGAGGCGAAGGTGCTTCGGATTATCGACTGGAGAATTATGCCCATTGTTAGCTCACTTCTGTCACTTCCATGTTACATTAAGTTATGGGTAGAACGCATCTTATCTGGAGAGTCCTAGTCATTGCTCATATTGGAGCAACTAATTAAGGAGGACTCCTGGTGTCTATGATCCTATTAGGCATGGCAGAAGCCGGGGTCAGCTCATGCAGTAAGTAGCTGATGGTAGCAAATACGAAGAAAATACTTTGTACTTCTTGCCTGCCAAATCCAGCAATTGGTGCCTTGGTTTTTCCATTTAGAACTGTTCAATCTATGTGCCGTAGATATATCTTTCGACAAATCCCGATCGTATAATGGCCTTAAGGAAGGCTCGCTGTCTAATAAGAACTGCGCTGTCTTGAACTGCGCATTCGCATAGGCAATGTTCAGGACTCGAAATGGCCGGCCCTCAAGGTGTTCACTTTGCGACGAAACAGGCCAATCAATCAATCAATCAATCCAAATTCTATTAACCTGTTAGAGCCTAACTAGTATCGTAATGGCTATGCAGGGGCTTCGGTCCGTATGAAGCAAGAACTCGTAATCCATACGCCTGGTGCTTCCGAAGGACAAAAATACAGCAGATTCTCAAAGAGTGGAAAAACCAGCTCTCGAATCAGACCAATAGACCTGCCATTTTCTGCGGCGACGTAGAATGGATTCCAATAATACACCTCAACGGGACCAAAGACACGGGGGCCATGGTTTTCAATATAGCTATGCAGGTTTATCACATTGTTGCGCTCGACCATTCCTCGGAATAGACCACCATCTCGCCCTGTCCGTCGAAAAGCACGGAGTTGATTCTAAGAATGATAAGTGCAGGATCCGGCTCACAGAATATGCTGTATGCCATTGTGCGTAAAGTGTGGTTCCTAGACGTGCCAAAAAAAGAGAAGGAATGAACAAAAAATCAGAAACAAAGAAAAATGAATCCTGAAAAAAGAGGTGGGGTGGTGAGGTGGAACGGATGATTGATCAATAACCCCCGTGGTGCTCTAGTGAAAGGGAGGGCCCCAATAGTGCAATAGCACATAGCATGCCCCGCGATACCCGGATGTCCATTTCAAACTGCATCCACCTTGAGCAGCTCTGCCCTGTTGTTTCTTCCGCCATGGGGGTACTCATGCTATCTTGGCAAGCTATGACGCTCCTCTGTATTCTCTTGGGACTCTATATCTATAGGACGGTCATGACGTACGCTTAAGTTGAGGGAGTTCCGGGGACCTTCGTGGACCGGCATCTCGAACTGGCCTCATAGCGTGGCGATACTTCGGGGGAATTGCCACGAGTGGCATGCAGAAGTCAACAAGAAATATGGTGCGAGGCATCTTCTAGGCACCTATTGCGCTTGCATCTACCAGGGTGCCGTACCTCCTACAGCTAACAGTTCCGACTCGAGCCAGGTCCGGTTGCCCGAGTCGCTCCTCGAGTCCTGCTCACGTCCTCTCCCGAAGTTTGGATGCATGTAAACAACAAGCCTGGCTACAAGCGCTCCGATTGGTACTATAAAGCCGCAAGAATCGAATACCGGAGGGACAACGTCTTCAGTCAGACGGATAACGCGAAGCACGAGCGACGGAGGAAGCAGATTGCTCCTGGGGTATGATGGCTGCGTCGTCTTCCTCTTTGACTCTGTTCCCACCTATCATAGGTCGCTGACCGGTAGTTGTCATAAAGTATTCGGGAAGGGAGAATATCAACCTCGAGGGGTCGGTGGATGAACAAGTCCAAGATTTCCTGAACCTCATCCGGTCCAAATATATCTCGTCCGACCGCAGTGTTGTGCCTATAGACCTAGCGAAGAAGGTTCAGTATTTTACACTAGATATCATTAGCATCGTAGGCCTCGGCAAGTCGTTTGGTATACTACAGAGTGACTAGGACGTGGACGACTACCTCCAATCAAGCGAGGAGGAACTTGCTATCGGCAATGCTGCCCTCGCCATAGGCTTTAGCTAGATTCTCAAGCTCCCTTCATCGGCAGATTTATTGCACCTTCACCTAAGGACAACAACGGCTTCGGTAAGATGATGGCTGCTTGCTTCCGCCTCGTCGACGAGCGCGCTACCAGCTCTACCAACGAACAGTCCGATATACTAGCCTCCTTCATGCGCCATAGCTTAGCAGGCGATGAGCTACGCACTAAGGCCCTAGAGCAGATTATTGCGGGCTCCGACACCACTACTAGCGCCATTCGTGGCACCCTTCTACACCTCATGACGAATCCTCGCGTCTACCTCAGGCTACAGCGCGAGGTCGACGATGCCGTGCGCATAGCATAGGCGAAGGCCTTATTAGTGCCGCCCAGGCTAGAAAGCTCCCATACCTCCAGGCTGTGATCTGCGAGGCTCTACGAGTCTGGCCCCCTGTTGCGAACATCTTGCCGCGCGATATACCGACAGGTGGCGACACTATTGTCGTCGATGGCCAGAGCGTTTTCCTACCGGGCAGAATCTGCATCAGGTACTCAGCGTACGCTATGCACCAGAGCGAGAAGGTCTATGGCAAGGACGCAAAGGCTTTCCGGCCTGAGCGGTAGCTCGAGTCGGATCCTACCAAGTTGTCTGTCATGGTTCGGACCAACCACCTCATATTCGGCCACGGCAAATTCCAGTGTTTAGGAAAGGCTGTGGCTGGAATCGAGATCGGCAAGGTGATATTCGAGGTGAGTAGAACGAGCTCCGCATATCAGCTTTCGTCTTCTTCCTTCACAAGGATACGCTAACCGGACCGCCGACCGGACACAGCTCTTACGCAACTTTGACCTAGCACTTATCAACCCGACGCGTCCCTAGGATGCGCGGAACTACCTTGGGCTTTCGCAATTTCAAATATGTGGATGCAAGTGATGGAGCGAGCTCCCTATTCACCTTGACCGGGCAGAGAACAGTTACCATGTTATATCTGGATATATCCTGTCATGGTAGTGTTTTGCAGGCGTCCTCAATGGTAGACGGAAGGTGGGAATCTAAGGTCTACGCTGGCCGGACACCCCCGTGCTCTGCTTCATTTCATTGTTTATTATCCATTTGGGTATTGTCACTTCTCCCGTCCTAAGACACAAACTGTCAATTTTACGATAACTTATCAATCAATTTTACCACTCCGCCAAAGAGAGATACCAGGTCACCTAATTAAGTGCATATTGGTATAGGGTTGTATGCCGGTTCAGGAAAATCCCGCTCGTGTAGATTAAGCCCCTTTCATTCCAGCTAACTCCACCAAATCTCGACCAACGCTAGCATGGACTCCATCATACGTGTATGCCACGAAGGGCATCAACCACCATACGCACTCGACGGTTCTCTCAACTACTAGCATCCATCCTGAATCCTGGTGAGCGTTGAACATTCCAAAAATGGAGCCTGGATTCCTACCACCACGCGTAGTGTCTGGCTGGACCATCCACTGGCTTCCCACAGATACGCCAAATGGTGCATCAGCGTAGGTCTTGATGCCGGACTCAGTATTTCTCAACCAGGTCCCGAACTGAATGTGTTTCTGGCCCCATGGGCCTATCCATGGTATGATCGTAATCATGCTGCTTAGCATATATGTCTCAATCGGATCCCAAGTCTTGGAGGTTAGAAACAATTCGACCTCGTATGTGGCGGGGTCGGTCGGGACCTGATTTACGTCTATAACCACCGGATTCAGTTTGATGAAACTCGGCTGGTCGTGTAGAGCTCGGATGATCGCATTTTGGTCAACGGATTCGGGAATCTTGGTGGAAACTCTGCGGCTGTGGGAGGCACGCCAGTTGATCATCATCAGGGCGGGTACGAGGAGGCATGCCAAAAGTTTGTACTGAACCATATTGGAGGACAGAATTTGAAAGGGTTCAGATTTTGAAACAGAGATTTTGGACAGGTATTGAAGGGGACAGATCGGCGGTGAAGTGGGCGCCCTGTTGGGCCCAACCCGGATGGGGAACAAAGTTTATTATATTGTAGATATAATAAATGATCATCGCTACCACTCACCATTCAGAGAGCCTCGCTGGCTCTGACAATTTGGTGGACCGGATTGACTAGTCTAATATAAATATATAGAATATCAATTAAGAAAAGAAATTTTATATCATAGAAACTGACAAAAAAGACAGTAACTAAATTACTTATCAGTATTAAAAGAAAAATAACAATCATGAGAAAATATGATTGAAAATTTTTTTTTAAAAAAGGAAAAAAAAAAAAAAAAAGGGAAAAAGGAACATGAGATCAGCTGTGATACGAGGTAGTGACTAGTGACAATTGGTCTGCAGTTATATGCAGTGTGATTCATATTCAGCTCGCCTCCAGCTTATGTGTTGTTCAATTTCTAAATCGGGGCATTTCTGCCGGTGAACTATTTCAATTCTGGAAGTAATCCACAGGCTATAGCAATCCTCTAGTTTAGATTGTAGAACCGGATCTGCAAACATTGCGCATATCGAAAACTCTGCGCTGTCTTGGGGGGCTCCCGCGATCATATCTGACATCGAATCCTCGGGAGCAACTACAGAATATCATCATCTTACAATGGCTCCAGCGGTATAAAGTCGGTGCCCACGACACCTAATCTATACTTCCCTGCGTGATTGCAATTCGCATCCACCCTTAAGCCCATGCCAGCCGTCCGCTGATACCCATCAGCCGGTTGACTGATCCCCTCCCCAGCGGCCAAAATGCTCCAGATAATTTCCGCTGCGCTATGCACCTTCTTCGGTTTCCGAAACAATCCGCTTGCTGACATCCCATACGCCTCCTGCTTTCCTACCCTAGGCCTTCTGTCAGAGAAATGGTCCCATGATTTCTACTCAACGTCGATGAGGGCCCTTTTCAACGCAGCCGCGGAGGAGGGCATATCCTGGACGCTTATCGGGGGTGTGCCCTTGGTATACCTTCGACACCCCGCCTTGATCCGACAGGTGTTTGTCAAAAATGCGGAATCTATTAGTCGGTGTGGAACCCAGACCAGAGGTCCCTTTGGAACCGGCAAACGTATCATTCGCAGTGCCCTGATTACCGCTGATGGAGACGTCGCCAGACATTGGCACGCTGATATGACCCGAGGTTTCCACAACAGACCCGCTATGGAGAGGTTTCATTGGAAGCTGATCTCGATTGCGACGAACCACGTCCAAAAACTCCGAGACATCGGGATGGGTGATAACCTCCAAAGTCTCCTACAGGATTATGCCATGGACGCGGTATGGTGTCTGGGGCTCGGGTTAGAGAATGCCTCCCAATGTACAAGGGAATGGCAGGAGCCATTTGCCCAGTATGTGCAGATGGCGGCGAGTATGTCGTATCCACTCCATCACACCATGATGAATCTTATGTGCGGTCGGGATTTTGAAGAACCAGATTACTACGAGAATGACCTCCATGAAAGGATTGAGAATTGTGTCCTCCAGCTTCTAGAGGCCAACTCGGACCTCCTCAACCCGGAGGCCGTGGAAACACTCGAGCAAATGAACTTCCTCCAGAGGATATCCCACGAGACAGGCGGGAGCGCAGCACAACCCATCACCCCGGATGTTCTCGCCCACGCGAGGCAAATCTTCTCCCACGGGTTTCCCGCCCCGACGCTACTCCTCCTCTGGGCGCTGAGGGAGTTAACCCTATACCCCGAGGTGAAGCAGAAGCTCCGCACGGAGCTCCAAGAAAGTGACTGGCACCATCGCCAGGAGCTGCAACTTCTTTCGAAACTTCCATACCTCAATGCGGTGGTGAACGAGCTACTTCGCCTACACCCCCCGATCCCGACTACCGCCCGAGCTATTGATCGCCCCCTCAATATGCAAACTCAATCCGGTGCTAGCCTTGTCATTCCCGTGCAGGCTCGTGTGGCTGTCTCCCTTGCGATGCTACATCAAGACCCTTATGTCTGGGGCGAGGATGCCTCACAATTTCGACCAGAGCGATGGGACGGACTCCTCCCGAATACGATAGAGGGCGAGTGCAAGTACTTGCCTTTTCTCACGGGGCACAGGCGGTGCCCGTGTACTAGATTCGTCTTACAGCAGGTCAAAGTATTCCTAGCGGTGTTATTGACGGAGGTGGAGTTAGAAGTGACGAATGCGTCCACTGTAGAAAAGAAACTAGGGCCGGTATCAGAGCCAACGGAACCTTTGACCTTTACCATCAGCCCTATTACAACGTGAAAATCCCAAAAGTTTATTTAAAGATTTCTTAGATCAGAATATTAATATTTGGGCCGAAATATTGCGTTGTGAAATTAGTCATGATCATTGCGCAGCCTTATCGGACCGAGTCTTCATTGGGCGTCAGGCATTGAGTTCTAGCGTAATTTCCTTCCAAACTTCGCTACGGTAATTTCTACTAGATGTCGATTGCCCACTACATATTTACGGCGCAAAGCCTCCAACACCGCACAGGGTCCGCCAGAGGGTAAGTATATGACACGGAGTTAGTCCTGCCGCCCTGACTCGAATAAGAATGTATACGTGGCAGTAAAGGCTTGTTTCGTGACTGTCCCGTGGGTTGAATAGCTGGTCAATATTTATTAGGGCACGCCCTTTCATTTAGTTTATTTGGCGCGTTCAATCCTATGTCATCACTTGGTGCCATGTTAGGTCATAGTCGCCGTTCATTTATAGCTGGAAGTGGAAGTGAGTCGGGTTTATCTCCGATGATTCTTTGAAGTCGGTGTAGCGGCTGCCCTCTGGTTAGCGCAGGGGTTTGTCTCCATTCTTCTTCGAAAGGCTTCGTCGCTGACTCAACAGCTATGTCCACGTCGCTCGACTGAGCGGCACTAAATGTTCCAATATTCTCACCGACGAAAGCATCCAAAATATGGATGATGGCATGTTCTCTGCTAGGGATGAACTGGTTATGGATAAACAAACTAGTTGGAATTGAGTGGGGATTAATTTATAACCTGGGGACTCAGATTCTTACACGAACCTTGCGTCATGGCCCTATCACGACCGCAAAGCTATACAGATGACATGTCTTGTGGTAGTATGCACACTGATTTTGAAATGATATCCCACCCTTTTTTAGGAATTGGTGAGAAATTGTCTGTGATGTCGATAGAAGAGACACTGAGCTCCTTCGGAACTTATTAAGGGGGTACCGAGACAGTATTGTATTTGCTTTAATAACTAAGCCTTTCTAAGATACGCAGCAATTATATGTGGATAACTGCATATAGGAGATTATCTACGGCGACTTGAAATAACATCTCGAATCTGCCGGTATACCTCCCCTCTCAACTAACGCACCCCCTCTGCCTAGACAGCTAACTCCTAACCACCACTACCCTTCTACGGGATGCGAACGACTAAAGAAGATAACTACCGATGCTAGCACATAAACAATAGCCTAATCAACACTAGTTGTGCCCACTATAGTAGAGAAATGTTTGAACACTAACGTCCACTCCCCTACTTAACCGCTATCCGCCATAATCGACTTAGAGCCATAACTACCTCCACTAACATACTCTCTCTAGCCTCCTTAACTGATACTATCCATCACTTCCTCGCCCCTAAACGAACAAATAAACTATGCTTCTATCCTCTAGCGATCTATTATATCTACACCGCAATCAATTTCTCTAATGTAAGAACCTATACTTCCCGCCGAACCTATACTCACAATTGAAGATCTTCACCGCCGTTTTCACAATAAACCGCCACTATTCTAGCTCGAGACTAAGACAAGCTAACGATAGACTAAACAAACTCGTAATAAGTCCGCATCTACAACATAGTCGCTACCTAGATCCTTAGTTTTAGCCTTACCCACGTTTTCGCGGTTTCTAGCAGAAATACAGCCAAAATCGGACAGTTACTACCCGTCTTATTCGTATATCTATCACAGCCGCGCTATAAAGGCAGCCGAACGTCATAAACGGCAACGAGGGCCGCGACAGGTCTTAACGAGGCTCTAAGTTCGTTTTTAGGAAGTGGATCACTCTATATATACGCACACGAATATGTATATTTGTTATGCCCTGCATATCGCTTCAGCAGTGAGAACCCTGGGTTGGGGTAAGTGTGATAATCCTATTCACTCTATGGGAAAAGATCCAGCTACTTATAGTTGCAGCAACTGATCTCCCTTCTGCCTAGCGGAGTGGCTGCCTGTTAGGCTGCCACTCCTACAGACCTATATACATCACGTAAACTGGGATCCAACTTCGGCGAGGGGTCGGGGTGAATGAAATCATCCATCCATTCATCCTGTATAAAGCCCAAACTGACAAAATAATGAAAATAGATGTACGGAATCATGGCACACCACAAATCTCAGGATGATCCGGTGAGGTCAAACAAAGAGACTGGGCGATTACCCCAAACGGCTGGAAAGGCCCAGCAGCAATGGCCGTCTTACCACTCCCAGCGCATTGATTCGCAGCCGTAATGGCAAAGTTACGCATCACCTGTCCCGAAATGACTGACCAACCGGGGAACGAAGTCCCGAAGAGCTCGGACTTATCCGAAAGCACGAATGCGCAGCCATTAAACTGGTAGACCAGACACCAATTGTTGGTAATGACGCCTTCTTTGTTCTTGGTCGTCCCACTGCGGATGCAACTAGACGATGGATCGTTGGTGGTGATTGTTATTCCCTCTGTGAGGGGTTGACCTTGGACGATGCCGCTGATTTTGGATTAGGGCTAGGGGATTTCTTGCCAAGCAAAGTGGGCGATACTACTTACCTGTTGTAGGAGAACATGCAGTCGGTCATTTTGCTGACACCGGCCGTGCTATCAGATCCACAGGTGATCTCGCCATTGATATTCTGTGGGAAGACTGGTGAGACGGACGATGAACCGGATCCCGAGCCCGAACCCGAGCCTGAGCTTGAGCCTGCTGGGTCGGGGATGGGGTTTCCACCACAGGCTTTACTGGCCTAGATTCATTAGCACCAATGTTAGCCGAGGTGGAGTATCAGGAGCGGGGGAAATACGAACCCGAATCTCGATGTGAAGGTTGATGGAGGAGGTGCCTGCCGGCACACTTGCGGTCATGTCGATACTCGCTGCGTGCGTCAAATACATTAGCAAATCCTTTCTCCATATTTGTAGAGTCCAAATTATACTCACTTGGCAAGGGATTTGTCGGGATGTCAAAATTAACAAAGGAACCCGAACTAGTTGGGTTAGAGCTCGGAGGTGACATCAAAACGCTCCATCCTGTCGCTGACACAGAGTAGGCCTGCATGGTTGCCCCGTCCAAGTTATACCCATAGCTACCGAATCCGAGCAGATTATAAAGATCAATGTTAACGGACGTCTTCCCCGAAGGGATGGCGATGGTCCAGGTGTTCGAAAAGCTCTGAATGGTACCGGCCCACTGGCACGTTCCTCCGGTTTCACCGGTTTCCTGGCCCCAACTTGGTACATCGCCGGAGCTTGGCCAGTCAGTTAGAGATGTCGCGAATGGGATACCACAGTCGCTTTCGTTTTCTTCTTCATCTCCTGCGTCGTCGTCTCCAACTGGCGGAGGGATAACGCCGACTGGCGGGGGAGCTCCGACGGGAAGTGGAGGGCCTGGAACAACGACGATTGGGGGTCTATATAATTGTTAGAAATGGTGAGGATTCATACTTGTAGGAAATGGTTTCATACAAGATCGGCGGCCAGTCAGCGTCAGAACAGAACTGCATGCAGTTGGGGATCACAGCAGGCGGAATCGGCATGGGGATTGGGGGAGGTTGAATCGGCGGTGCCCCTCCCGGCCAATTCCCATTAGTTGGGACTATAAGAGGGACGGTGATACTAGGGCTGGGAAGGATGATAGGCGTCACCGTCTGGCCCGTGGGCACAACAATGCTAATAGGCTGCACCGACAAACCGGGGGTTTCTATCACCGGTGGCGTAACAACCACCTGCGAGCCGGATATTGTCGTTGTATATGGCGGAGGTCGAATTGGTCTGATGGGAGTGGGTGGTGGTTGAATGACGCAGGGAATATTGCACGATACCGTTGGACTTGGAACACTCCAGATCCACGGGGGCAGCGGGATAATCGAGGAGGGAGTGTCCAGCGATCCGGTAGTGTCCAGTCCAGTCCAGCCCACAATGGTGCCTAGGAACCCGTCCATATTCTCCAGGGCTAAGACATCAGCGCTGCTGCTGCCTTGGATCATCGAATACACCCCCTTCGTGTATAGATTAACAATGAAGATGTTGTCACTGTTGACGACACGGGAGATACGCTCCTGGCAGGCCTCGAGGCTTAGGCATGCCTGCGAGTACCATTGGAACCAGCTGTAGAAGCCAGCCCCATAGATCATGACATTAGACGAGCCAATGATCTCTAGACCCCAGGCATAGGCACAGGTTGCAGAGTCCGGGCTGCAATAGGTGAAGGTGGGATCGTCAGGCAAAGCATAGGCACCAGTGAACGGAGCGGGCGCCTTGGGGTTTGGCTGGTAGTACGGAGTCTCCGTCTGCAGCGTTGCGGCGAAGATGTTCTGCGCGTGATAGAAACGATATTGATAAAGCGTGCAATGCTCCGACCCAGTACCCCAGAGCCACAACGGACCCTGAGATTCGATCAGGAGACACCGCGCAGTGTACACGGAGACTTGATCCTGCGACGGGATGTCGAGGTCGTGATCTGCGGTCCAGACCCAGACATTTTCCAAATATAGGGATGCGGAGGAGGTGATGTGGAACAATGTGGTGGCAGCGATACAGTTGTTGTCTGCCTCGACCTGGGTCCATGGACAATCTGCATACTGCAAATCACTGCCCTCGGCGCCTCCAACGCGGAAGTGGGCATCCCACATGCCAGCAGAACCCTGAGAAGCCTGTGCTAGATTCCACTCCATCAGAATGGCACCCGCCGTAGCTCCTTGTACTGTTTTGTTTGTTAACATTTAGGTAAAGGACACAGCTTGAACCCATCTTACCAGTGAAGAGCATGTCGGATATTTCCACATCTCCCGTTTGGCCAGCCGTTCCTACTCGGATCATCACTCTTGGATTCGATATATCGGAAAACTTGTCTCCAAATCCCATAATCTCACTCCACACTTCGCCGACAATCTTTGTCTCTGGGGGGATCGAAATGGTGTCTGAAACCATGTACGTGCCGTGTGGGAAGTAGACAATTGAGCCCCTAGCAGATGCAAGGACACTGTTGATCACAGCAGTGTCGTCAGTCCGGCCATTGCCAGCGGCACCGGCCGCTCTGATATCGACAAAGCCGCCGATAGCCACAGTTTGATACTGGGGTTTAGACCTAGCAAACCAGCCACTGGATGACCGCAGCGACGTTGATGCCACACCCTTCGCGGAAGGGGAGAATGCACCGTTTAGAAATGTGTCACTCAACGTTTGTCCGTTTTGGATGAAGTTGTTCCCATATCCGTAGTTGTCAATGAGGACATCTCCACCCTGAAGAACCGTAGGACCGCCTGAAAAGCCAACGGCAATTGGAGCGTTGTTCATTTGCACATTTTCCATCATAATGTTTGTTTTCCCTGCTGTCAAGACAGCAATTGGCCTACTCGGAGTTAGATTTTAATTGTTAAACAGGAGCTTGGGACACATACACATTGGTAAAAACAGAGTCAAGGACCGCAATCGCGGCTACACCTTGGTTGTGCTCTGCACTCGCGCTGCTAAGCGCCGTGACGTTGATTCCAATCTACCATTTATGTTAGTGGATGTGATTATTAGTAGATATACACGCTCTGAAATCGTACCTGGCAGAGAAGAATATCCAGACCATGCCACGTCCAGCCCCAATCCCAAATCATCTCAATCGCCTGGATGCAGTTTCGGAATTTGAGATTGCGCGAGGTGAACTGCTGGCTTCCACACCACATGCCAATGGCACCTCCTGTGAAGGTCAGGTCTCCGAGGTAGCCACCCGATCCATTCTCCATGAAGATTCCAA